GGAGGGACAGTGCCCAGGCCCAGAGTTCAGTTCCCATGACTGGACCCCACCCCCCCCAAAAAAAAAAAGAAAAGAAAAGAAAAATGGAGGAGAAAGGAAAAGGAAAAAGCCAGACTCCATTGTCAACAGGCTAGGGCTGTTTATTGAGGTACAGCTGTGAGGGGCAACAAACCTTCCCACGGAAAAGGAGGTTTGTGCAAGGAGGTGGGCCCAGAATGGGGTTTCTATGGGTTTGAATAAGGAAACAGAGGTTACTTGGGTTTAGTGTAAGGAGGGGCAGGGGTGGGGGGGAGGATGACTGTAGATGCAGGCAGAGAATAGGGTATTTCCTTATCTAAGGTCTTAGGCCTTTTTAATGTTCAAACAGCTCTGCATCTGTCTTGTCTACACAGTTGACCTTCACATGATCTAGTTCTGTCTTCCAACCTCTTTAATGCTTTCTTAGCCTCACAGCTTGGCCTCAGCTTTACAGGCTAGGTCCAGAATGGAATGTTTACAGCCAGGTTCAGGTTGGATTTTCCTGCCTGTGTCAAAGCACATCCATGCATACCTGGGGTAATAGAATGGGAGTCAATCCTTCAAATATTGCATATGAATTTCAGTTGCTCTTCATGCACATCAACCCTTGATCCTCACAGATACTTTTTAACTTCATTCCATCTCAAGGGTATCAAAGAGGATTCTCTGTATACTCAAAAATGTATTCTTTTATAAACTGATCCTTTTCTCTTTTGTCATTTTTTGTGCTGTTTGTTGTGTTTTTGTTTGTTTTTTCCATTGATTTGGAAGTCTGAGGCAGCTTCCTGGGCTGCTCCTCAGGGGAAATCATGTTCCTGTTAGGAATTGTTTGTTTTTGGGGCATTTTCTGATGTCATTATTAGATGAGTGTTCCATCATACACAACACACGACCTTGTTTTTCGTATTTCTAAACTTTCCAAAAATGACATTTGTATTACACGTATTTTTCTACAACTTGTTGAGATAAGGTCTCGTTTTGTCCTGGTCCATGCTCCGGACAACCTCTGCCACTATGTCCTGCTTATTCTATATGTTTTAAAGTTTTTCCCTTCTCATTTTTCTTTATGGTATAAAGAAAGTGCTGTACCAGTGAGCCACATCTCCAGCCCTTGAGCTTTAATAATTAAATGGCAACAAAACTAGGTCATGAGTCACACTAAAAACTCACTTTCCCGCCTGCAGACTTTTTTTTTCTCTTTTAAAGCGCTTACTTCATTTTTGCGCAAAGCATCCTGGGAGTTGTAGTCTTCAGCCATGGGGCCCCGAGGCCAGGCATCCAATCAGCAGAGAGCCTATACCTTTCCCCCCAGCGATTGGCTAGACGTGGCTGCCGCCCGCCCCCGCGGCGCCGTCGCGTTGGCTAACGTGAGGGCAGGCGGGTTTAAGGCTAGAGGGGGTTGTCGGCCGTGTCTCTGCTCCTGGGTGCAGCCGTTCCTGACGGTGCAGTTCAGCCATGGCAGAATCACAGCCCGCGTCCGGGGGCCTCACTGATGAGGCCGCTCTCAGTTGCTGCTCCGACGCGGACCCCAGCACCAAGGTGGGCCCTCGATCCCCTTCTCCCGCCTTCAGAGGACGCGGTCCCGGGCGGAATTCTAACTCGGTGCGGCCTCTTGCTGCAGGTCGGCCGGCCTCGGGCGGACGGGAGCTGGCCGGGAGGAGGGTGGATGTGGTCCAGTCCGGGGAAGGGGGCGGCCGGTAGGATGCACGGGCTCTTGTCTTTAGGTTGGCTCGGGGACGTGGGATCTGCTTGCGGCTCTCCTGGTCCTGTCTATTTGGGGACGTGGCTAGAAGCCTGGCCAGCCCGGGTCAGGTTCCTGCTCCCGGGTCGGACGCCACGAGCCGCCCAGACCTCCCCGCCACAGGCCCGAAGCTCTTGTCGCTGTGCCCCCGGCTTCACCCCTCCCAACTGCTGCGATCGCCCCGCGCTCAACCGCTTTGGCTTGGCTTTTTTTGCTGTTTGCCCACGGCAACCCCTCCGACCTGGAGGAGAGACAGATCTTCGGGCTTCGAACCGAAGGGGAATCGTAGGAATTCCCCCGCTCACCCTCGGGTTTTACGATTGCGAGCCAGTCAGAGGAAGAACCTGTGGCCCGTGACGCTTTCACTACTTCCCGGGACGGCACTGAAGCCCATAACTTACTCAGGTGCGGTGCCTCCCTGCAGTGCCAAGGCCAGGCCCCGCCGACGCCTCGGGACTTGTACCTGTGGAGTCAGCAGTGTCAGCGGATTACATCTGTTGTAATTACTTGTGATTCACATTAACTACATCTTTTGTAAATTCCTTGGAGATCTACTGTTGGTCTTAAGTTACTCTGACCTGTGAAGAAGGCAAGAGGGGATTTGCCTTCCGAACAGAGTCAGAAACTTCCAATTTTGACTAGCACCTAGTGTGTTCTTAGGAAAAATGTTAATCATTGCAAACTCTGGTTAACTTAGAGTTAACTCAGAGTTAACATTGTTAACTCTGGTTAACTTAGATATCCTTTAATCATCCTACATATTGTATATGGTATAAATGAAGTCATTTAGTATGTTAGTTTCCCAGATAACTGAGGATTTTATGTATTGGACTATTTCAAACAAACAAAATGATTTCAGGACTGTGTAGTATGAGTTAATTTCCCACATAACTGGGTTTTATATCCTGGACTGTTTCAAACAAAAAAGATTCTTGGAACTGTGGTTCAGTGGTAGAGAACACATTAAAACATGCAAGAGACCTTAGGTTCAATCCCTAGTGCGCATACACACTCTCTGTCTCTCTCTCACACACACACACACAATTCTAGGAAGATACTTAGAAATACAAATAGATACACTTATCTAAACTTTATTTGATTAAGAGTTATTTTCTGAGATCAGTAGTGTTAGTCCTAAAAGTTCTGAGTAGGGCCATAAAATGGAATGTATAATAGCTGAAGTATAGTCAGTGTGCCAGGCCAGGTGTGGCATTGTAAGTTAATTACTTAATTTAATCCTCACAACTCTAATAGGCATATAAGGAGATTTAGACACAGGTGTTGACTCACCCAGAGAGGGTGAACCTGGCTTCCACCTTGTCTGCTTCTAGGATACTGACTCAAAACAGCAATTTTGGAATTTGCCATGAAGAGAAAAAAGGATCCTCAATGAACTAAATTCAGCTTGATTGCTGATTATCTACATTATAAAGAACGTGGCTAGCTGGGCCCTGGTGGCTCATGCCTGTAATCCTAGCTACTCAGGAGGCTGAGATCTGAGGATCACAGTTCAAAGCCAGTTCAGACAGCAAAGTCAAAACCGGAAGTGGTGCTGTGGTTCAAGCGGTAGAGTGCTTACCTTGAGCTGAAGAGCTCAAGGACAGCACCCAAGCCCAGAGTTCAAGCCCCACAACCGACCAAAAAAAAAAGAACATGGCTGACACTTTGGGTAATACTAAGATAAACAAAATGGGCTCCCCCATACACCAGCTCTAATGTAAGGTGGACTAATTAGCTATTGGCATTATAAAGCACTTTGGAGAACAGGAAAAAGAGATTTTCAAACATTGCATGTATGGAATTTAGAGTCAGATGACCTCCATTTGTATCCTCCATTCATTGGTTACAGTAACCTTGGCAGGACTCTCTGGAGTTTGTACAGTGAAAGTAAAGACAGCTCAGAGATCTGCTATAAGAATAAAATAAAATGACATGAGGTATATTACATTCTCTAACCTATGTGAGTGACAGAACTTCAAGTAGTATTTCAAGGTAATATTTGTTGAGGCTCAACAAAAGTAATGATTTACTCAGTATCACAGATTTTAGATCCAGCATATAAACCACTATTGTCTCAAAAATAATTTCTCTCACATCTGTATGTTTTCCTCTCTGTGCTTGAGAGATTACAGGCCTCATGACTGAAGAAAAGATCAATACTATGGGATGTAGATTGGTTAGGGGTACATAAGCTCACCGTCCACTAGGTTAAAAGACTGACATGTGTCCATTGGTTTAAAATCAAAGTTTAAAACCAGGACTTATGTTAAGCTGGGATGCCAGTGGCTCATACCTGTAATCCTAGCTACTCAAGACACTAAGATCTCAGTTCAGAGCCAAACTGGACAGAAAAGCCTGTGAGACTCTTATCTCCAATTAACCACCAAAAAGCTGAAAGTGGGAGCCAAGTGGTAGAGCACTAACATTGAGCAAAAAAGCTCCAGGACAGCAACCAGTCTCAGAATTCAAGCCCCAGGACTGGCACAAAAAAGAAAAAAGAAAACCAAACAAACCAGTTTGCTTCCAAACTCTGGTTGTGTGAATGCAATTCCTTTTACTTTTCTCCTCCCCCCCCCTTCTTTCTTCCTTTCCTTTTCCTTTCCTTTCTTTTCCTTCCTTGTGCCAGTCCTAGGGCTTGAACTGGGCCTGGGCCCTTGTTCCTAAGCTTCTTTTTTTTTTTTTTTTGGGTCCGGTCATGGGGCCTGAACTCTGGGCCTGGGCGCTATCCCTCAGCACTTCAGCTCAAGGCTAGCGCTCTACCACTTGAGCCACAGCACCACTTCCGGCTTTTTTCTTTTTGCTTATGTGATGCTGAGGAATTGAACCCAGGGCCTCATGCATGCAAGGCAAGCGCTCTACCACTGAGCCACCTTCCCAGCCCCTCCTAAGCTTCTTTTGCTCAAGGCTTGCATTCTACCACTTGAGCCTGGGCTCCACTTCAGGCTTTTTTCTCTTTTCTTTGGTAGTTTATTGGAAATAAAGACTCTCACAAACTTTCCTGCTTAGGCTGGCTTGGAACCACAGTCCTCAGATCTCAGACTCCTGAGTAGCTGGGATTACTGGGGTGAGCCACTGGGCATTTCTTTTCTGTGGTTTCCTGGCTGGCTCATGGTTGCAGGGAGATCTGTCTCATCTCCTTGTATCTTGTGCTCCCATACCTCATAACTAGTACTGGGAGACTGCTTTGCCTTGGTTCCTGCTTCCGTTATTTGCCACACCTTTCTTCTGTGTTCTCTCTGGCTTTCCTGCCTTTCTCTTCTGCTTTTAAGGCCCCTGTGTGATTACATTGAACTCACTCTAATCTCTGTATTTTAAGGCTGACTGATTAATAACCTTAATTCTATCTGTAAAGTTCCTCAGAGCAGTATAAATTAGTGTTTGCTCAAATAATATGGGACATCTTAGCATTTAGTCTTTCCCTGTAATTTCTCAGAGACTGCAGTGCACTGGCGGAGCACCAAGAACAGCTTCCCCCATGAGGCTGCCAAGTGCTGCCTTGGAAATGGCCTGTGGTCTGCTGACAGAGCACAGTAAGATTTCCAGGTCTTGGCCTCCCCAAGCAAACATGGAGGTTGACAGGCAAGCCTCCGGTCACTCACATTACCAGAGAGGAAGAGTTGCTTGCTGTTTTTGTCAGATTTTCAGTATTTTGTTTTAATCTGTACTTGGACAAACATGTGACAAACAGTGTTGCTACTATTTATAATTTTCTTTTAAAATAAAAAAAAAATTGGGGGGCTGGGAAGGTGGCTCAGTGGTAGAGCGCTTGCCTTGCATGCCTGAGGCCCTGGGTTCGATTCCTCAGCACCACATAAGCAAAAAGAAAAAAGCCGGAAGTGGCGCTGTGGCTCAAGTGGTAGAGTGCTAGCCTTGAGCTGAAGAGCTGAGGGACAGTGCCCAGGCCCAGAGTTCAGGCCCCACGACCGGAACCCTCCCTCCCACCCCCCAAAAAAAGAAAGTTGTAAGAACTAGCCAGGTGCCAGTGGCAAGTCTGTGAGAAGACTCCACTTAGCCACCAGAAAACTGGAAGTGGAGCTGTGGCTCAGAGTGCTAGCATTGAGCAAAAAGAAGCTCAAGAACAAGAACAGGGTCCAGGACCTGAGTTCAAGCCTCAAGACTGGAACATACACACACACAAATGTTAACAATGGTGGTCTGTTTGTATCTTATTATAAGAAGCACAAGTGAAAGTTAAAGATGTTTTTAAAGATGGTTTTAATGTAACTGTTTCTTTTTAGGATTTTCTATTACAGCAGACCATGCTACGAATTAAGGATCCTAAGAAGTCACTGGATTTTTATACTAGAGTTCTTGGAATGACGTAAGTAAAGCATTAGCCTTTGATGTTTATTCCATAGTGTGAATACAGGGAAGGTTTTCAGGCCCATTTAAAAGTAACAGATACTCTTTCTGCCAGGGTTCTGGAAGGGGGCCTGCGTAGACAGGTTAAGTTCCCTTCTTTATTCCTAAGCCCATGAGCAACCAAATTCCATCTAAGTCCTTTATTCGTTCAGATCTCTTTAAATGTTCTGACAGTTTGTGGCTTTGTGTTTACTTCAGAAAACATAAATATAAGGGCCTATTGCTCAGAAAATGAATGCGTTTACTCAAAGGGCCTGTTCCCTTCGTAGGCAGCACTTTCATCCTTGGCCTGGTAATGGCCACTGAGCTGGTAACCACGGAAGATTAACATGTTTGTTTATCTTCACTCTTGCCTGTTGTCAGATATAACTGGCAGTTTTACTTGTCTTGATTTGTTTCCCCAAATAACATGAAGTTTTTAATTGGTTTTGGTAATATGAAGAACAAAATTAAATGATATTTAATTTACTGCCTACATAACCTCCATTGACTTTAAGAGAACACCTCAAGTAGTGTTTGTCTATTAAGAAAATCTGATCAGGTCGGAACAATAGAAAACAAAGAACAATAGTTTCCTTCTCCTAGCCTTTCTCTCTAGATTACTGCTGTTAATAGTTTCTTGTGATTCTGTCCAGAATTTAGCATAATGTATTTATTTAGCATAAACCAGCATGGGTTTTTAAATATTTGAAGAAAGAATCAATATATAATAACATTAATTTTATAATAGTAAGTGTATTTATATGTTTAGAGGGGAGAAAAGAAACTTACTGGACACTTCCTGTTTGTGGTGTACTTCCCATGTCACTTCATTCAGTCACGGCAGGCCATTGTGGGGCTGATTCCCATTTTGCAAATAAGAAAACTTCCAAACCTTAAAATGATGATGGTACTGAGCCCAGACCCCACAGCTGGCAGAGATCAGAACTGGAATTTGAATCCATGCGCCACTGGCTCCAGTGCTGACCTTTTTTTGTGTTTTTGGTAGTACTGCGGTTTTAACTAACTCAGGGCTTCACATTTGCTAGGCAGGCACTGTACCACCTCAAGTCCCCAGTCCCTGACTGTATTTTTAAAGAGCTCACAGATAGGTGCAGCCTGACAATAGTGTGGAGGATTTATTCAATGCAAGTCACAGTAGATGCGTCAGTAAGGTCTATGTCTTTATTTAGTAGGTGCCAGAGGTACTTTAGTCAATAGTAAGTCAGTACCAGGGTCTCAGTGGGCTGAAGCGTATTGCATAGCAGGGATAATTAATTGAAAGATTTTGAGTCAACCTTGAGAAATGTTCCCTTAGCAATACCACAACCATTTGTTCTTGTTGATTAGAAACAAGGTCAAAAAATAAAAAGGGAAACTTTATATTTGTGTGTGAAAATAGAATGGTGAAACCTATTGAAATTGTTTTAAGAGGGTAAGAGGGGCTATATGGGACAGAGGGGAGTACGGTGGGTGGGGTACATTGTATTCAAGTATGGACATGTCACAGTGAAAACCCCCTTACGCAAATAATTTATACTGATAAAAATCTTTTAAAAGGATACCATTTTTCTACTTAGAAACAAATACTGTAATTCAAGCTAAATACCATTAAGTAAGAAGAATCAGTGAATTACAAAGGTATTTTATTTCCTGGTGCCAGGACTGGGATTGGCTCTACCACTTGAGGTACACCTCCACTTCCGGCTCTCTGCTGGTTACAGATGAGAATTTCACCAATTTGTTTTCCCAGGCTGCTGTAGAACCACAGTCTTCAGATCTCAGCTTCCTGGGAAGCCAGGGTTACAGGTGTGAACCACTGGCACCTGGCTTCTTTCATTTTTATGTTTTACTTTTTTTTTTGTCAGTCATGGGGCCTGAACTCTGGGCCTGGGCGCTGTCCCTCAGCACTTCAGCTCAAGGCGAGCGCTCTACCACTTGAGCTACAGTGCCACTTCCGGTTTTCTAGTGGTTTATTGAAGATAGGAGTCTACTGGCTTTCCTGCCCGGGCTGGCTTTAAACCGCGATCCTCAGATCTCAGCCTCCTGAGTAGCTAGGATTACAAGCGTGAGCCACCGGTGCCCGGCTCACTTTTGTTTTTAAAAGTTTTTTCTTCCACTGATTTTCCTCTTCCTTGTCTCACTCAATTAAAGTTACATTGATTTTAATATGAATTGGTCTTTCCTCTTAACGAATTTACCTGTTTGTTTTTCATTTCAGCCTACTCCAAAAACTTGATTTTCCTTCTATGAAATTTTCACTCTATTTCTTGGCTTATGAGGATAAAAATGACATCCCCAAAGAGAAAAATGAAAGAATCGCATGGACATTCTCCAGAAAAGCCACACTTGAGTTGACACAGTGAGTTTTTATCATTTTCTATATTCAAATCTTTAAGAGTCTCTCTTTCTCCTTCCCTTCTTTCTTTCTTCCTTCCTTCCTTCATTCACTTTTTCTTTTTTTTGGCGGGGGGGTCCAGTCGTGGGGCCTGAACTCTGGGCTTGAGCGCTGTCCCTCAGCTCTTCAGCTCAAGGCTAGCACTCTACCACTTGAGCCACAGCGCTACTTCTGGCTTTTTTCTTTTTGCTTATGTGGTATTGAGGAATCGAACCCAGGGCCTCAGGCATGCAAGGCAAGCGCTCTACCACTGAGCCACCTTCCCAGCCCCTTCATTCACTTTTTCTGATTACTAGTTTAATTCAATTTGTCACAGTTTGAATGTTTTTAGATTTTTGAGACCAGGCTTAGTATGTAGCCTAAGCTATTCCTGAACTCACTGTTTAGCCTAGATGACTTCAAACTTTTTATATAAATTTTTGGGTCTGCCAGGCGCTGGTGGCTCACACCTATAATCCTTGCTACTCAAGAGGCTGAGATCTGAGGATTGAAGTTCAAAGCCAGCCCAGGAAGGAAAGTCTGTGAGAATCTTATCTCCAATAAACTACCAGAAAACTGCAAGTGGCACTGTGTGGCTCAAGTGGTAGAGCGCTTGTCTTGAGCTGAAGATCTGAGAGACAGCACCCAGGTCTAGCTTCAAGCCCCACAACCGACAGAAGAATAATCGGGTCTTTGTGATACCATAGTATCACAAGGGCCAGTAAGAACATTTGTCTTTTAGGTAGAGAATATAAAAACCTTAAGTACTGATGAGGTATTTACCAAAACTGTAATTAATTAATGTGCAGATACTATTTCTAAAATCTTACATCATTCAAATTTTTGTCCTTAATTATTTTGTTGCATTTTTTATCTAAAAGTTATATATGTGTATACATACATATATATATATTTGTGTGTGTGTATAAAATAAGTTCTTTAAAAAGTCATTAAATCAGTTCAGGGAAGGCTAGAGTTGTAGCTCAGTGGTAGAACATTTGCCTAACATGTGCAAGGCCTTGGGTTCAATCCCCAGTACTGGAAAGAAAAAAAGAGAAAGGGAAAAACAAGAAGTCAAACCATTTTGTTATAATTAAAGTACTTTTATAATTTCAACAGTTAAGAGAATGGAAGTAAAAATTCCCTTTTTCCCTTTTTGTTATGTTTACAGTTTTAGTATCTTTACAGTGTTTCTTTGTACTCCTTACTAATTACTAAAAGACCATTTGTTGCAAAATGTGTCTTGACTCAGAAGAAAATCTTAGAATGAAACAGTCCTAGACATTGGCTGACCCTGACAAATTATATCTTTCTGTACACATCTCTTCTATAAAATGGAAATGTTCAACTTTATAGTTTAATCCAATATGATGTATTTAGCACAATAAAGGATGTTGCTGGTATTGCTGCTTATCCCAGTGCCTATTTTTACTCTATCCTTGATCTGGTTAAAACCATACTTTTCCCTCTTGTCTTGTCTACAGTTGACAATTTATAGCGTAGCAGCAGGTTTAGATCAGCTGTGTAAATGGTACACAGGAGAAGATTTTAAGATGGAGATTTCTTTTTTGGGTATCTGTTCTGCAGGACAGAGGTATGAGTTCTAGTTTCCCTTCTTTTGCAGCAATTGGGGCACGGAAGATGATGAGACCCAAAGTTACCACAATGGCAATTCAGACCCTCGGGGATTTGGTATGTTTTACTATTCGTATGGAATATGTATGGATTGATGTTACATGGTGTACATGTTAGTATTATAATAAACCTAAAGCAGTAATGATTACTAAGAATAATTTATTGAGATATAGTGATCTTTATTTTCCATAAATAATCTTATTTAGGAGTATGTAATTTTTGAGTCTTGGCCTAAATATAGCGTTTATTCTTTCTTGATGATTTTACTTTAAAACCTTAGTATTATACTTTCAGTAGGCATTGTCAATCTGTCACACTCTCTGCAGTGGTGGGGCTTGAACTTAATTGCTCTACCACTTAAGTTCCCCAGCTCCTTCCATAAACTTTTTAATTTAAACAACAAAACAAAACCAAAGAAATCTATTGCTAATAGCAATCTTAATTTTCTGGTAGTGTACACTTCTGCCTTAATGTAAAAATCACTCAAGTCCACAAGGCAAAGGCTGATATATTGTCACTGCTACCAGTAAACCTATTCAGTATGAGTTAACAATAACTTCTCTTACTGTCTCCTTGATCTGGTTAAAGTCCTACATTGGTATAGATTATTCTTAACGGACTGAACTATATGAGCCTGTATTGGTTTATTTTAAATAACTTATAATTCAGACCAACTATTTATTCCATTATACTCAGCTAGTTATAACTGTATTCATTCTTTAATATAGATTTGGAACCTACCTGACTCAGTGTGTTTTCAATTGCCTTTTGTTTTGAAATTATTTTGGAAGCCACTTGTGGCACTGTTGTGATTACCTTTTTTTTTCTCTGTGTGTGTATGTGTGTTTCGGGGTATGTCACCTAAGGTCACATTGGAATTGCTGTTCCTGATGTTCATGGTGCTTGTAAAAGATTTGAAGAACTAGGAGTCAAATTTGTGAAGAAACCTGATGATGGTGAGACTATTACTTATTGTAGTTATGCCTTTCCCTAATTAAATAATGTTGTAAGCACCTGTATAGAATGCCCTGTTGAAATAAAACCCTTTGGGTTGTAAGTGACAGAACTCTACTTCAACCAGCTTAGGAAAAGTAGAATACCTGGGGATCTCAGAGAACAGCACTGAAGGCAGTTTCACCAGAGATTGGACCCAGGATCCAGGGAGTCATCAAAATCTAGGCTCCTCCCGTTCTCTAGACCTACCATGAGGGTGACTTGGCTGTGTAGGTAACCTATTCTGTTCACTCCTTTGAGAACCTAGTCTTTGTTTTTTTCTTTGAAACACTTCCAGGGGCTGGGAAGGTGGCTCCGTGGTAGAGTGCTTGCCTTGCATGCCTGAAGCCCTGGGTTCGATTCTTCAGCCTTGAGCTGAAGAGCTGAGGGGACAGCGCCCAGGCCCAGAGCTCAGGCCCCACAACCGGACCCAAAAAAAAAAAACAAAACAATTCCAGTGACTCCTGACTTGGTAGAAATGGTAACAAGAAAATGAGGCAAATACCTGGTTTCTGACAGTTGCAGGCCATCCCACAGTTGACATTAGAAGGGCTGCTTTTCATTTTTGTGTGGAAGATAACATTTGGGGCATTATGAAAAATGTGCATTTGAGCAACACTGACAACATGGAACTTGAAACAGTAAAACCATACATAAAATAATGTGGTTCCTGAAAGTGCCAATTAAGAATCAAGTTAAGAAAAATGTTTCATCTTATGAGCTCACTTGTCAGTAACGAACATTTTCACTTTACAGGTAAAATGAAAGGTCTGGCATTTATTCAAGATCCTGATGGCTACTGGATTGAAATTTTGAATCCTAACAGTATAGCAACTATTGTGTAGTTGTGTGAGAACACTTCTGTGAGGTGCAGTGAAGACTGAAAGAGAAAGAAAACAGTGAATTGGAGATACTCAAATACTTGGAGCATCTAGGACCGATGGATGGATGGTGTCCTCATTCAAATTATTTAAGTCCATTTTCCTTTCCTGTTTCAGCAATTCCCCTGCCCTTCATAACTGTGTAGTTATTTCTAGTTTTAAAGTAGTACTTTATCAATGACCTTGAATGTAGTTGTATAACTTTACTTTTTAGGTAATAATTAGAACAAGTCTCTTCAGAGGCTGCATTTGCTGCCTTCTGGCTCCCAAGTTACCTTTCTTCAGTATGCCTTTGGATCTTTTTTTTTTTTACTTAACTTTTTTTTTTTTGTCATTATCTTCTGGGGTTTCCATTCCTCAGAAATACTTTTCACAATGCAAAAAAAAGAACACTGAACAAAAATGAAACTTCATATGTACTTCAAACAATACAAAGTGTTTGTTTTACAAAAGAGAAGGAATTCCTGAGAGCAATTCAGAATCATACTGACAAGGATACTAATAGAACAATGAGTATCATTTCTTTTATAAAAGAATTTCAGAGTTCAAGGACTAATCTCATTTACCTGAGAGTGGAGAGGAAGGAGGACACAGTTTTTACTGGATACCCGGCTACTGGACCAGGCTGTAACATGCTCTTTATTACTAACTAATCATCCCATGAGAAAGAAAGCAGGATGTATAGAATAATGTGAATAAATTGAGCACTCAAGTTCTCATCATCATTTTAATAATTTAGATTATGCCTCACTATTATACCTTATAATACCTCTTGTATTAGTCTCTTGTAAAAATCTTCCATGAGTTTGTGCACTGTGCTCTTGGCTCTTAGGCCTGAATATCATTTTGAGAGAAATGGCATAGAGGTTGGTAGAATAAGAGTGCCTCCAGGAAACCTGGCTGTTCCCACCTTTATGATCCTTATGATCTTTGTGATGCTCTTGAAGAGTCTTCCTTCCAGAAGGTCTTCATGATGCTAGTAGCCATTTATGATCAATTATATCCAACAACAAATGAAATACTAGAAGTAGGCTTAGTAGTCTTCCCTGCAGTGTTCAATGAGTTTCAGAAATTTAAATCTGAAGCTGGGCGCTGGTGGCTCACCCTGTAATCCTAGCTACTCAGGAGGCTGAGATCTGAGGGTCGCTGTTCAAAGCCAGCCCGGGTAGGGAAGTCTGTGAGACTCTTATCTCCAATAAACCACTAGAAAATCGGAAGTGGCACTGTGGCACAAGTGGTAGAGCACTCGCCTTGAGCTGAAGAGCACAGGGACAGCGCTCAGGCCCAGAGTTCAAGCCCCACGACCAACCAAAAAAGTAAAATAAAAAATAAATAATTTAAATCTGAAAATCTCTTACAGCCTGAAGGATAAAGACATCCAACCTGTGCTTGAACTACAGTTATATCTTCTGAAGAGACTAGTGGAAGACTTTTGGATAGGCTATACCAACTTGTTCTTTCTTTGGTAGAAGTACTTCACATTTCTTTTTTGGATTAAACAGGTTTATGTCAGCAATTTAAACAAATTGTACATATAAGCTGAAATAAAATTTTAAATATTACTTTAATTTGTAAACTTTTGTCCATCAACTTATTAACTAAAGGTGACCCTTATTAGGGAAATAATCTGAAAGGACTTGCATTTCACTCTGAACCAGAGATAGTTGTAATTCTGTATAGCCGGGAAGCCAGCTATTTCTTTGGGTAAGGATGTATGGGAAAGGAAATGAGATAAGGAATAAAGGATTGTGGTATAAGAGAAGACCAAATACCAAAATTTGGTTACGGCAATTTAGGAAGACCAACTTCTCATTCCAAGTACTAGAATTAACAAATAAGGGGTCTATTCAGCTTTTAAGTTCAATAATTCAAACTTCCTTTCCACTTGCTAAGATGGGCCTTGTTCCTTAAATCCGTATCTATATACATTGAAAAATTATATGGTTCAGGGCTGGGAATGTGGGTTAGTGGTAGAGTGCTTGCCTAGCTTGCAGGAAGCCATGGGTTCAATTCCCCAGTACCACATAAACAGAAAAGGCTGGAAGTAGCACTGTGGCTCAAAGGTAGAGCACTAGCCTTGAGCACAGAGAGGCTGAAGGACATTGCCCAGGCCCTGAGTTCAAGCCCCAGGACTGGCAAAAACAAAAACATGGTAATTTTGGGGGGGTCTGGTCGTGGGGGGGGCCTGAACTCTGGGCCTGGGTGCTGTCCCTCAGCTCTTCAGCTCAAGGCTAGCGCTCTACCACTTAAGCCACAGCACCACTTCCGGCTTTTTTCTTTTTTGCTTATGTGGTGCTGAGGAATCGAACCCAGGGCCTCAGGCATGCAAGGCAAGCACTCTACCACTGAGCCACCTTCCCAGCCCAAAAACATGGTAATTTTTTAGATCTTGCTAAGGATTAGAGCAATCACTTCTAAATAAACTTGCCAGGGAAGTGCTTATGAGAAGGGATGAGCTAGAGCAAAGCTCCCTAATTTTTCATGAGGCAGCAGAAATCTAGCATATGGTCACTAGGATGTCAATCCTATCAGCCCTACACAGCTGATATAATATGGGTGGTTTGAACTAAGAGCTGTGGCTTCCCTACATGATACTTAACCAGGACTGGGTAATGTTGCTGTAGTTCAGGCTTCTGTAACAAATACCATGAATTCGATTTGGGAGTCTGAGATATCCAAGATGAAGGCATCAGCAGACCCAGTGAAGGTCCTCTTCGTGACTTGTAGACAGGTGTCTTCTTACCATACTTCCTCATGTGGCAAAAAGAAATCATCTTTCATGTCTCTTGTAAAATCTCTAATTTCATTCAGGAGTGTGCCACCCTCATGACTCACTTGCTTCCCCAAAGTCTTATCAGTTAAGAATTGGCTCAATACAAACTTCAGTCCACTCGGTGTATAAATAGCCCTCGGCAATATGGCTGCCTGTGGGGAGCGTCATATCAGTAAAAATGTCTGCTCTGGCAATAAGGGGAAAAAAAATCCACCATCTGACATAGCAAGTACTTCAGGATTTAGTATGGGAAGGTAAGATGGTTCTAAGATGCCAAGAGCTCCAGGTTCTTCTAGAGTTCCCAGCCTACTGTTTTGTTTTCTCTTTGGGCCAACTATATTAATGTATTTTTTTAATTTTTTATTTGTCGGTCATGGGGCCTGAATTCTGGGCCTGGGCGCTGTCCCTCAGCTCTTCAGCTCAAGGCTAGTGCTCTACTACTTGAGCTACAGCACCCCTTCCGGCTTTTTCTGCTTATGTGGTGCTGAGGAATTGAACCCAGAGCCTCATGCGTGCAAGGCAAGCAACTGAGCCACCTTCCCAGCCCCTCAACAATATTAACATCATCTCAAGTGTCACTTATAGCCTTAACAATGTGCAGTGAAAGAAAAAAAAACTTAGCCCTCACTTAAGGTCTGAAAACCTTTTTCAGAGTTCTTCAGCAGAATTCTTATCATGTCTCAGACTTCGCTAGACTGGAATGGTTTTTCAGACTTTCTTTGCTTTAGATGACCCTGGCCGTTTTAAAGAGTACTGGTTAGTTTGTAGAATATTTCTCAATTGGGATTTTCTGAATGCATGTGGTGGTGGTGGTGGTGGTGGTGATGATGATGATGAAGACACTGAGGTCATGGGTTTATGAGAGACCACAGAGGTAAAATACATAGCATATGAGGAGTACATACTATGAACATGGCATTATCCTCTAATGGAAAGTTCTCTGCCCACCCCCTTTCCAGAGGAGGTCACTCTGAAGTACACATGTATTGGGGAGTTGCATTTCTATTTAAGGGAAAAACAGGTGTTGCACTTACCTGATTGCGCAGTGGGATTTGCAATGGTTGCAGTCCACGACAGGTCCTTCTTCCCATCCACTCAGTGCCAGGTGAACTCAACTGAAAATATGCCCCTCGAATTTCCCAACAAACCCCTAGGGGTCAGCACTGCCTTGTTGAGAGCCATTGCTGTCTGAGTGCCACTGCTAGTTTCTTTAAAGTACATGTGAACTTACAGCATTTACAAAGCAACATAAGTAGAATACAGATTTGTGCTTATTTACATACAACTTTGCCCAATTCAGCACTCATTTATGAGGGCTATTAAGAGATCTCCAAAGCATTCCATGTTTACATAAACTCTTTTATGTTTTACACAATACTGTATTAAGTTATATACTTATAATTACAAGGTAACCGGATTTGAACATGTTTGTAATGGACACAATTGAGAAGTAACTTTTCCGGGAAGCAGAAATGCACCAATGTTCCAGAGAGTGACAATTGGTTATAATTTGCTTGGCCTGCCAGAGTACCAGTT